CATTATATAATTTTATATCATTTAAATCCACCTGCTAATTTGTCTATAAAACAGGCATCGGTTGCTGTAAATATCACATATTTCAGTGAATATTTCTTTGGGATTTTTTACAAGTTTTACAGCAGCTTTAATGTAGCTTTTATTTTCACTTTAGTTTACTGATTTTTTACCATTCATTTATAATGCAGTGTCTCGAATAGCCCTTGTTTCCCAGCTTCTCACGATAAAACTATGTGATGAAAAGGGGTCACATAAACTGTTATAAATTCATTAAAGATTCAATAATGAGAGAAAGTCAAGCTTTATGTCATATGACTGCTATGTTGTATGTCATCGAGCTAATGACATTATTTATTGAACGCCCCTCGTAAGTTTGTTTGCCGTTTTACAAAAACTGGGATGTAAAAGATTTATATATACTATTCAATTATTTACATTCTAAAATGAAATGAAATTCGTCTGCCATTTGCCCTGTTACATTACACAATTTATAAACTCTTTCATCTAATGGAATATTTGACCATATACCAATTTTAATTGGGAGGTGGTGGTTTGAGGTTCTAAATTTTATAAGTATATTTTGGTGTTTACTAGGTGAAATACTTAGATGTTTTTCACATCCAAAATCACTCTTAAAAATGTGTAAATTTGACCTTTTGATGAATTATTAATATCACTATGCCATTTTTGAATAAATTGATCTCTTAATCTTTGCTTCACTGCAGCAAGTACCCAATTTCTGTCAATGGACCTTTGTTCATACCAATTGTTAGAGAACCCACAAGATTGATTGATTGATTTATTGTATACTGTTTAACGTCCCTCTCCAGAATATTTCACTGATATGGAGACGTCACCATTTCCGGTGAAGGGCTGCAAATTTAGACCTATCTCGGCACTTACAGCCTTTGAGCAGGGAGGGATCTTTATCGTGCCACACCTGCTGTGACACGGGGCCTCGGTTTATACGGTCTCATCCGAATGACCGCCTCACTTAGTCGTCTTTTACGACAAGCAAAAGGTACTGAGGTTAAAATTTTATAAATGAAATCTACCCATGGGTTTTTGATCTCCTTGAAAATATTGAGAACACAGATATTTATACAAAGCACAAACTATTTTGTTTTCTGAAGAATTCGGGGTAAGCAATTTTAACCAGTAGGAGATCATTCTTGTAAAAACAATAATACACATACAATGGGAATCGCCCAGTCTCCTCATACACCATATACGAGGGCGTACTACTCTTTAAATGGAAAATATGCTTTAAAAATTTTAAATGTACACGTTCAATGATGTCAAGGTTTCCACAACCCAAAATTTCTCTGTTATTCCCGAATCTGGTAAATCAATATAACTTTCTTTATTGGCAATTTCTCAAATTTCAGGCAAAATGCATTACAGTTTGTTTTGGCTTTTTTGGGGCCGATTTCGAAATTTAAATTTCATATATCTCTCTAACCGTCTGTCTTTTTTGACAACGTCACACACCAATGAACAGTTCAGTTCTCCCTCCTATCTTTCGGTCTTCTTGTTATCTGCTGAACATTCAATGACCCATCACCAACCCAAAATCATTGAAACCATCTAAACGAGTGTCTTATTTAAATTCTTTTCTCTGTGAGTCTGGTGAATCAACGTAACTGTCTCTACAGACGATTTCTCAATTTTGAAGCAAAATGCATAACGGTTTGTTAACGTTTGTCTGTTGTTGTTGTTGTTGTTGTTTTTTTTTTTTGCCTATTTCGTCGACATTTGCTCTTTTCAATGTACTGGAGGAAAACAACGATGTTTTTCATCAAAAATTACAATTATGCTATATAATTGCAGCTTAAGACTAGAAAATGATGTAATTTTTGGTCTTTTAAAATATTTTTTTTTTGATAAGGCGCTTTTAAAAGATGCTTTTTAATGCATTTGTCTTTTTTTTATTCTAAAAGGTACAATTCCACCTATGTTTTATGTTTCAAACATATAAAACGAAATGAAAAATTAGTTTACATGGTTTAATTAGATTCATATTTGTGCATCTATTAGTATATTATACTTGCTAATATGACGCCAAATGTCAAAGACATAGACAGTGTGACGTTACTTCTGGATCAACCCTCGTACATACGTACATGTAGGAGCAGACGAGAAGATTTTTAAAGAATTTATGCTTATCCACTATGTAATCAAAAAGCCCCACTCTTACACCAGAACCCCTGACCTAAGGGTTATGAAATTCACCATTATAACCACGATAACTATGTGTTTAGTGTGTTGGGAGAATTTATTCAAAATTGAAGGTTTTTACTACAGTACTATACATTAAAAAGATTGAACATCAGAATGTTCTTTCACAAGTAAAGATTACGAGATACACAAAATATTTGCTTCAAGAACTTAATCTTTGAGTTATACATTGTTTAGACATGTTAATGGTAATTAAACAATGTATAACATGGTAATGCAGATTTTGAAAGATCATACATGTATATCTCTCCAGTTCTTAGACTAGAGACTAAATAATGATCAGATTTTACAATTCGGGTTTTAAAGGTCACACCACTTGTGTGGTATGAAATACACGGAGATAACAAGCAATATTCAAGCCCAAAAGTCCTTTAAACAATAAAACAAAGAAGCAAAACAAACAAGGACCTCCAAAACATCAGAGGTGGGATCGGGTGACATGGAACAGTGAACATCCACTCTCTATCGATCACACGCCGTACTTTTCCTATTTTCCAAAATCCATGATCGGGAATTACCGGAAAATCCGTCGACAATTTAGTGTGTATTGTATGGCCAAAAAAACTGTATTGAAAACGTCAGTCAGCATTTGATTTAATGATGAATTGTATTAACTGCCAAGATGTTTTGTGCATTTAATTAAATGCACACTAAACCCATTTTGCATTTCCGTAGTTAAAATTATTTCCAAAAATTATCATAAAATTAGTACATGTACACGTATTAGAAATGTTTTAATTAAAACACCAAATATAAATTAGAGTTATTGAGATCACTGACCTCACAAAATGACCCCCCCCCCCACCTCCATATGATTAATAATGTCAGAATGCATGTTTTGTTCTGAGGAACCCAAACTAAGTGTCATATCAATAAAATAGTAAAATAGGTGGTTCATGAAAGCATTTTTGTGACATATATTCTGTGAAAGTCATAAAATTTCACTCAGGTGCGGATAAGAGATGGGTACCCCACACCGTAACAGACGGGCGCATGTATAGACTGACGGATGGAGGACTTCCGATCACTATATTATACCCTCCTACATTTCAAACGGCGGGTATTATAAGGAAAACTGCAAATCAACAGAGCCCCCCTCCTCCCTTAACACGAGAAAACCTGACCTTGGAGCCTTTTTTTTCATGATGACTTTAATTATCATAATCGTGCATTTAGTTTATCTGCTACTTGTATAAGGGAGAAATGAGAATTTTTAAAATATTCACTTTATGATAATTAAAGATCTACCTTAACTTTAGAAGCCCTGCCCTAAGACCATACATGTGATGCTCTTTACAATCACACCAAAAATTTGACTGCTTTGTAAAATACTACATAGTAGGCTGATTGAAGGTGTTGGGGAACGAAATGATTTCACTGAGTTTCTCATGGCATTCCACCATCCAATCTCAATAACACCAGTGGCTTTATTAACAAGACCCTCTCGACTGGCCCTTAATTCAGAACATACTCTTTTTCGTGAGTATGGATGTCACAATTGTGTACATAAATATTCCGGACAATGTGGGTATCAAGGCCTCAGAGATGTCTAGACTCCTTCTACTGAGACGCTTGTCAAGCTTCCAATTCATGATCTCATGTGTAACAATTTTTAACTCAATCTTTGAAAGAAAACTAACGAAGCTCATTCCACGCTTATGATGCGATGACAGAGAACACAATAGACGATACCTTGTACAAACCATGCGAAAGAGAAAATTTAAAGGTCTTTCTTGTAAACACTTACTGTCCATCATGCAAGAGCCTTAACGGTATTCTTAAAAAGCTGCCAATTCTTTACTCCAATAAAAGAATAATATTGGCTATCTATAGGCCACCTATTAGCACTCGAGGGACATAGAGGATATGGTGGTAAGAACGAAGTTGGAGAACCCATTACATAACGGGTGATTAAAATAAATAATGTCTTCTCTGTAAGCACACCCCTGATACAGTTTTAGCATTCTGTTGCAGGCTTCAGATTCAGAATACTAGAGGGTTTATCTTCTCGAGAACACAATTTCTCAATTCTCATCAGCTGTAAGAATGCTTTTCAGAAGAATGAAGGAGTCAAAATAAAAAAATCTCCATAAAAGAATCAATAAGAACTGCTCGGCCATTCAGACTAAACATTTCAATGTACGTACAAGTTACTGAAGTTAGTTAAGATTACATCCTTGAAAGTCAGAAAAGTGGTTGTTACTTTATTGACCATGACCCAAAATAGAACGATGTTTAGAGAAAACCTAAGAAAATATCTCGATGCACAGGCATTGTGTCATACATGTAATTGACTGACGTTTTTCAAACTAATTGTTAGTCCATTATTTATACAATGAATTGACGACGGGTTTTTCCGTTATTTCCCGATCATGACAAGGAGCACATGTCGGGTTTGACCGGTCAGCAGGGGATGCTCACTCCTGCATGGCACCTGATCCCACCTCTGACGTTTTAAAGTCCGTGTTTGCTCTGCTTCTTTTTTGTATTGTTTTATGAACTTTGATGTTTAATACTGTTCGTTATCTCCATATCCTTCTTGGCAAGAATTTTGACTTATATGATGAAGAAAATGGTAAATTTCCTTCAATTTTATTGACATAAGAGAGGTAAACACGGGTATCCTTCAGATCATTTTATTTTTATTTTACGATAAATATTCAACTCTCAGTATAGAGTCTTGAACTGCTGTGTTGATTAAGACTGCAATATGCCAAAATATTGAAAAAGTCCCTCTTTCTACTACGATCACTTATAATTACCTTTTCTTCGGTAGGTTTGGAAGTGTCCGTAGATTTTTCCAAGCTTTTAAAATCGGTCTCTAGTGTGTTTTGGTCTTGATCGCTATTTCCCGTCTTGTTTTTACTTTCCTCAAATGTTTGTAAGGATTCTGCAAAAAAAAAACTCTCGATATCGTTAGTTTTGTTTTTTTTATCTAATGAGCCAAAGGGTGTGGAGAGATATAGATGACTTTCCTTTATGTCATTAATTTGAATGTACATTCCTTATTTTTAGACAGTGCTTATCGCGGAATGGCTTTTAAATGTCAAGTTGCAAGACTTCTTCTTTATTTGACGGATAATCAGGAGAATTTTTATTGATTTCATTACCGTGTAATTTCAATTTCAATTCCCTTATATGTTTAGGAAGCTAAAGTTCTCAATAAAATATTTATCATTGTAGTAAATTTCCAGAAGTTCAGATTTTGTGATTTACCCTTCATAGAACTGAAACCTTGTGGTTCAAATGTGGCTAATGGCTTCATACTGGTGAAGAGCTCTTGGTCAATCTTTTTTCCTGTTAAAATAATGATCGTGGTTCAATGAATGAATTATTTTCTTTTTTTTTAATTATATGTACATAACGACAATAGTATTTGATCTCCAGTGACAAAACTTGATTTTTCAAAATTTTTGAGTGGGTGGGGCTATGACCTTCAATTTTCACAAATTATTCCTTGTGACAAGACCTTTCTTCATATATCACCAAATCTGACCTCTTGACCTTGGAATCAAAAAAACATATTCAGTTACAATATTGTGCGATAAATAATAAGATGTTTGTCGTACAAAAAATAAATTTTCGAATTCTATGAAATTGTGATGAATGCTGCGATTAAGAAAAATGAATTTCACACAAGGAAAACGACTCAAAGAAAAAGAAAGAATATGATTATCATACATCTGTTATGAAATACAGACCGAAATGTTTGCATTCCTAAACCCGATAGTATGAAAATAGGCATCTGTCCTGTATTGCACATTATGTATCATTACCCCGAAAACAAAGTTTTAATTAAATTACATTTGTACCTTTTCGGAAACATTTTGGATTTATCATTCGGAATGTGTCTTGTTTCTTAATGTTGAAATTTGAATAGAATAGGAAGCATATCATACATCATTTTCAAGAGTTATTATATATATAAATAATTTAATTTCCTTGTATCAAGCAATTTCATTGGCTGAATCATTAAAGGAACATATAATATTTTGAATAACATAACTTGCCTACGTCACAATAAGTGACGTCAAAAACGTATTACTTCGCTTGACGTTACTTTTAAAATAGGCTATAATTGAAGCCTTTTTCCGGGGGAAAAATTGTCTCATTGTCTATACCGAAATTAAATTATAAGTAATGAAGCTTATATTATAACATAACTTTGGGCAGTTTACGCAAAGCCAAGCGAATCGCGAAGCGATTTATAAAAAAGCGTAAACTGCCCAAGTTATGTTATATCGTGTAACGTAAGTTGAAATAAGCTTCATTCCTTAAACATAGTCCTTTTTGTTTATAATACTTACCATAATGGTTTAAGTGTCCTCTTTCTATGTTCCTTAATCCAACTATGAAATCATTTGCTCTGAGGTGAAATATGGATAAAAGTGCTGGGAAATGAAGAAGATTGCATATTTGATGTTCCACTGTTCCATCTTTCTGATGCATTTGAAATTTAGCTAAATCATTATGACTTTGAAATGTTAAATACATTCGAATAGATCCATGCTTCAAAACAACACTAACATTGTACGTAATTTTTAGTTTCATCTGAAAGTCAAAGAATTTGGTCAGTATTTTCATTGACTTCTTTTTGTTTTCTCCAGCAAACCATTTGACTTTCTTTGACAATGACCTAAGTATTCTGCGTATTCGTTTACTATCTTTAGATGATGAAACAGATTGGGCAAAGTTTTCAACAGCACTGTATATACGATTCAAATCACTTTCCTTTGATTTTCTCTCAATATGTTTAACCATATATTTTAATGTTTCTACGCAGAGTCTTGAAAGGGCTTGCAGATGTCTTCTTATCTTTTTTCCATTCTTCTTTTGCTGTATCTCTATTTTCAAAGCAGTCCGTCTCGAACCTAATTAAAGTGATTTTTATTTTACAAATGAGGAATTTACGAAGGATACGAAACAAAGTTTTTCAAAACAAAGATCAGACTTGACTTATCCTTGCGAGTCCCGAACACACCTTAAAAACCAAACTTTGTAGTTTTTTCTTTGCTATTTCCAACCCATGGGATGAAAAAATAAAGAAATCACAAGGAATTTTTTTTCTTCCCTTTTTCACTTTATGCAGCTATTCCCTTGAAAAAAATCTTAAATTCATCCTTTAATCCTTTGGTTTCGAGATTTGTAACATTTTTAAAGTGCAATATTCACAATTACGAAACCAAAATCTGAATTTTAAACAAGAGGCCCAGGGGCCACAGCGCTCACCTGAGAACATCGGCTAGGAAAAAGCACATATCAGATCAGAACTGAGAGTTTCTGAAAGTTTACTAAGGTAGGGGGGCTTGAATTTTAACCCTCAGGGGGTCATGCTTTGAACAAATTAGAATCCACACCTGAGGATGATTCCATATAAATATCACTACTCATGGCTTTGAAGTACTTGAAAAGAAGATTTAAAAGGTTTCCACATATATTCCTTTATAAAAATTTGGTTGGCCATTTTGGTCCCACCCTAGCCCAGGGGGTCACGATTTGAACAAATTTGAATCTACACTACCTGAAGATGATTCCACGTGAGTTTCATTTTTTCTGGCCCAACGGTTATTGAGAAGAAAATTTTTAAAGATTTTAACTAAATATCCCTATATAAAACTTTTAACAGCCATTATGGCCCCATACTAGCCCCGGGTGTCATGATTTGAACAAATATGAATCTACACTACCTGAGGATGATTTTACATGAGTTTCATTTTTCCTGTCTCAATGGTTCTTGAGAAAAATATTTTCCAAGATTTTTCATATATATTCCTATGTAAAACTTTTAACGGCCATTATGGCCCCACCCTACCCCCAGGGGTCATGATTTTAACAAACTAGAATCTATACTACCTGAGGATGATTCCATATGAGTTTCATCCTTCCTGGCCCAGCGGTTCTTGAGAAGAAGATTTTTAATGATTTTTCCTATATACTCTTTTGTAAAACTTTGATCGGCCATATTGGCCCCATCCTACCCCCGGGGGTCATGATTTGAACAAACTTGAATCTACACTACCTGAGGATGATTCCACATGTGTTTCATCTTTCCTGGACCAGCGGTTTTTTGAGAAGAAGATTTTTTAAAAATGCCATTATTTTTTCTCTAATTCATAATTATCTCCCCTTGGAAAAGGGCGTGACCCTTCATTTGAACAAACTTGAATTCCCTTTACCCAAGGATACATTGTAGCAAGTTTGGTTGAAATTGGCCCAGTGGTTCTTGAGAAGAAGATTAAAATGTAAAAAGTTTACAACGACGACGACAACAACGAGAGACAATGGACAAATTTTGATCAGAAAAGCTCACTTGAGCCTTCGGCTCAGGTGAGCTAAAAAAGAGAGTGAAAGAGAATGTAACATGTCGTTTTTAGTCTAGGTACATGCACTAAATGAAAAAAATGTTTTTTTTTTGTTTTTTTTTTTTTTTTTTTTTTTTGTTACAATAATTTTATTGTCATTTTTAGTTAGGAAGATTAGTCAAATACATATTTGAAAAAAATATTCATTTTAAACCCATTGGTGAGATCATCAGCTCAGAACAAAACATGTTAAATTCTTAACTTTTAAGGTATTAACACCCCTGTGAAAATTGGGGTTTTTTTCTTGAATATATTTTGTGTTAATTGTAAATGGAATAACATATCATGCACTTTTAATTTAAAATCAATCGATATATATATATTTGAATATAAGCATAGGTATCCAGGCATTTGAAGAAAACTGCATGGTTTTTTTTTACTGAAACAGTGCTTTAGTTTCTTCTTTTTACTTCAATTTTTTGTAGTGAATAGTATATAAAGCGTTTCTTATCATTGAAAGACACAAAAAGCCATATTTCATTTCATGCATTTATACACTACTATCTAAGGCTATATCAAAGGAAATTGGGTTTTCTTAAATAATTATGTAATTTATTAAAAAGTTTTATGAGGTACAAATGTCAGCTTTTTAAAATGCCATTTGTAAGGCTGCAACGAACCTTAAATCTTTTGGAGATGCATGGATTGAAAATTGTTGCATTAAATGAATTCAATTTAAAGATTCATTTTGAAAGTTTGGGAATTAAATATTTAATTAAAGAGTTATTCATTCTGGCTGATGACTGGATTTCCTAAAATTAGAAAATAAATTAATTCGTTCACTCAAATATGCCTTTGGAATATACTAAAAAAAGCAAATACTTCTCTCAATTTCTGCATTTCGTTGTACAATGTCCAAAAATGTTTCAAATCGATCGTCTGTTATTGAACAACATTCTATTGATCTTAGTCGAACGGGATAATTTTTCTGCAATAAATTTCCTTGTCTCTCACAAATATTGGATATTTCTTGCCAGTACTTTTGAAATTTCGAATCAGAAACTTCAGCCGAGGCCATGTGGGCGGTAACTTCATTTCGAATCATTCTTATTCTTTCGATATCATCTCCGACTGTGATTTCGTTTATTGTGGGCATCTGGCTTGTTCCCCATCCATTTGAGGGAGCCTGAATATTTTTACACAGATTTCGAATAAGTGTGTAGAGCAATGTTATATCAAATTTTTCGTATCCTTTAGCTTTTGCGCCTTCTAATATTTGCACTTGTTTTGTGTTCAATTTATGAGTTTTAAAATGTGAAGAATTTTCCACTTTTTCTTGAATATCCGACGAATTAATATGTTTTTCCAGTATGTCCCTGTCAATCTGCGTCAGTTCATCATATACTGCAATTCCTAGACGGAAAAAATTTCTAAGTTTTTGAAGATCCAATCCTGAAAAAGCCATGCCCTGTAAAATTAAAGAAAAATGTTTCCATGAATCAGAAATAAATGTATTTTTATAGCAGATTATCGTTATATTAATTTTTTTTTACTACATGAACCTTTTTAAAAAAAGAGGGATGAAACAATTTAACAAAAATTAACTTCACTACAATCAATTCCCTTCAAAGCATGTTCAAAAGCAGTTATCAATTCTATTTGTGTTACAAGGCCGTCCCCAAGTTCAAGTTAATTTTTCAGTCAAAACCATTTAAAAAAAATGATTTTATGAGATCATTGAAAAATATTTACAGCATTTAAGTTTAGGTCGGAGGTACAAGTATATGATATCTATATATCCATTATATAAATTGAAAGAGATAAAAAGAGCAAGAAAAAATAAAATACATGTACAGTGTAATAATGGAATTAATGGGGAAAAAATCTTTGAGGACAGTCAAAATAACATATTTTTAATATAAGCGTACAGAGTTTTTAAAAATGTTTTAGCATCTTTTTTGTCATCATGTGAAACAAATATATGAATAATTTGGTCTAGCAAAGTAGTATTAATTAATATACGTTTTCCTTATGTTTGACAATGCAGTACATTCAAATATAAAATCGAGTTCATCAGCAACATGTTAAGCATTACAAAGTGTACATAATATTTCATTTATTTTCACATTCAAAATTTCGCTTAAAACAGTAGTGACCTAATCTTGAAAAGATAATTTAAAAAACTCGAATAAACAAGGGCAAATAATGGGAAGCCTCCTGTTTCATAATTAACCATACAACGTTGGGTACTACTTTTCAAATACAACATACATATGTATATTTTAAAAAAAATAAATGAATATGTTCAATTATATTTAAGTTTTCAAAACCTAGATTTCACTACCTAAGCGTAATACTGGCATAACCATTTTATCGAACAAATCAAATTGACATGTTACAGGGATATTAATTGTCTAATTTTTTTCTGATAACACTATACATTGCATTTTGGGATTGGTCACTTGGATATTGACTGGATTTTAAAGAAATGATACCAAGATACATAAATTCTTTTACAATTGCTATTTCTTAACTCTTGCTAAACGTATTATAGCAAAAATACTCTTTTGCATTAAGGTACATTCGGAGAAAAAAATAATTAGACCTTATCAATAATTACTTTCTATATTCACTCTGAATAGTAGCTTCCAAATTAATGCAATCCATTTTGTAGATCGAAAAAATTCATCACCAAGGAACATTTCATGAATACAAAATCAAAGTGTAAGTTTTGCTTTTCAAAATTGAAATCTTAAATAAAACTTTAAAAACGCTTAAAAGGAGGATTGTAACAACTACCCTGGTATCATGTGCTTTATTTCGAGAACAGAAGAGGTGGAAAAATCCCTAGACGATCTCAAACCCCAAGTATCAAAGATGACTACCAAAATTGGAGGTTTTATTTCTAAGTAACTATGCTCCTATTTGGCGACGAGGGGAGGAACTTAAATCCTGCGAAGAAGACACCGGGGATTTCATATCCGATCTGACCAATACCAGGGAACAATAGACGGGAGACCGATTTGCAACAACTGCCGAAGGATGAAGACATTTCAGGAATGACTCTTGGCCAATCTATTCGAGTAAACCTTATTTGGGTTAGTTTACATATGTACGCTTAATAATCTGCGAATGCAAAGGTGGGTTGAGATTTCAATATGAGGCCCATGGGCCACGTCTCTCACCTGAGCATTGTGGCTAGGATAAAGTAGAAATTGGTTTATTGTTGAAAAGTTTGAATCCAAAAGAGGTCCCATGACCAATCTTGGCTTTGCTATTCTTGAGAAAATTATTTTTAAAGAACTTTTCATATATATTGTCTATGTAAAATTTTGATCACCCATTGTGGCCCCGCCCTAACCCCAGGGGAAATTATAAAAATCTACACAACCTGAGGATGATTTCAAATGAATATAAGCAATAATGGCTTTGCAATTCTTGAGAAGAAGACTTTCTTTTTAAATTTCCTATATATCTCTATGTTAAACTTAAATCGGCCATTTTGGCCCCGCCCTACCCCCAGGGGTTATGATTTGAACAAATTTGAATCTACACAACCTGAAGATGCTTCCATATAAATATGACCAATTATGGTTTTGCTATTCCTGAAAAGAAGATTTTTGAAGAATTTTCCTATGTATTTCTATGTAAAACTTTGATAGGCCATTGTGGCCCTGCCCTATCCCCGGGGTCATGATTTCAAGAAACTTGAATCTACACTACATGTGAATACTTCCACATAAGTTTCATCTTTCTTGGCACAACTGTTCTTGAGAAGAAGATTTTTTAAACATGCCTCCAAATTTACAGACAAACGGACGGACGGATAGCTTGACGGACAGCAAGACGGACGCGGGACAAAATGTAATTAGGAAAGCTAACTTGAGCCTTCGGCTCAGAATGAGCTAAAAAGTAAGTAAAACGACCTTAGAGTAAGTTAAATCAATAAATGACCGACATTTAAAAAACACACCGAAAACCTAAGATGCATCAACTGACAAAGTGTTCAATAAAAGATTCAAAGCTCCTTTTCATCTTTAATATTTAGATATAACCAAGAAATGCAAAAAGTAAGTCACAGTGAGCTCCGAGGTCCTTAAGTCCATCAAGATGTATCAACTGCAAAATATTCCAAAGGAATCACTGACTAGTTTGGAGGCTATGTCAGGGCATCAACAATAATGGGAAACATGGGATAATTTGCATAATGGGCTTCGCGTTTCTCAATTATTTAAAGAATGTACGAATTAAGCGTTATAGTGCCCTAAAAATTTAATGTTCTTGAAATGTCATGGAATTGGCTGTAACATGAGTTGAGTAGGTTATAAGTGAAGAATATGACATGAAAGAGGATCTTATTGGAAATCTGGCGTCATCAAATTGGTACATTTCTAAGTTAAAACAGATTCTGATTGTTCACACAAGTACTCTGAAGTTGACATAAAGAAGATGCTTGAGTTTCTGATTGACAATATCTATGTGGTTATCGGCGACCATGTCTTCCAACAATCTATTGGAATTCCCATGGGAACCAATTGCGCTTCGTTATTAGCAGACCTATTTTTGTATTCATATGAAGCAGAATTTATACAAAATCTTATGCGTGAAAAGAAGAAAACACTTGCTGTGGCCCTCAACTCGGCCTTTCAGGTATATCGACGACGTATTGTCATTTAACAATGGTAATTTCCGTTCCTACGTCGATACGATAAATCCAGGAGAGCTTGAGATAAAAGATACCACAGAGTCCGACACTTTTGTTTCAAACTTGGATATTTTACTTGAAAAAGACGTTAATGGTAATCTAACAACCAAGCTATATGGTAAACGTGATGACTTTAACTTTTCTATCGTCAACTTCCCTTACTTATGCAGCAATATACCTTCATCACCTGCAAAAGGAGTGTACATGTATATATCTCAGTTGATTCGATACGCAAGAGCATGCTTTACATATGAACAATTTCTAAAACGAGGTAGTTATTGACAAACAAGCTGATGAAACAAGAATATCAGCAGTCTAATTTAAAGTCATCATTTCATAAGTTCTATGGTTGATACAATGACCTTGTCAAAAATACAATTTATCATTGAGTCAAATGCCGACTGACGTTTTTCATATCAATTGTTAGTTTATTACTTATATACTGAATTGACGATGGATTTTTTTCGTTATTTCACGATCATGACAATGAGCACATGGCGGTAGTGACCGGTCAGCAGGGAATGCTCACTCCTCCATGGTACCTGATCCCACCTCTGATGTTTCGGGGTCCGTGTTTGCTCTGCTCCTATATTGTATTGTTTTATGGACTTTGATATTGAAAACTGTTCGTTATCTCCATATCCTTTTTTTCACACAGATTCAGTGTAAGTTTATTTTCCTATAGAAAATGGTGTCTGCAGAAAATAGTGTCTGCAGCCGTCGATTATTTCAAGTTTTGGATGTACATGCATATGTATTGTGTTAAATGCTTTGAAAAATATCATACATCCCTGTTGGCGATACATGTGCTCTATGTCTTCTTCTGAAAGAAAATTCCGCTGAAAATTGACGTCTTCTGCAACTTTTCCAGATTTAGGACGTAAAATACTTACAATCAATCAATCAAAAACTCTGAAGCGTTTGTTTTTTTTTTCAGAATGAAGGATCTTAATATTTCAATAACATTGCTATACTAGTTAGTATTACAGCAAAAAAAAAATGCTCTGTTGCAACCACTATTGAAATAATTACATGTATATAGATAGTGGTTGAGAGTGCATTTCAATAGCAAACATAGTTAGTAACCACTATTTAAATACGACCACTATTGAAATAACTATATCAGTAGTGGTTGAGAGTACATTTCAATAACAAACACATAGTTAGTAACCACTATTTCAATACAACCACTATTGAAATATTTATATCAATAGTGGTTGAGAGTGCATTTCAAAAACAAACATAGGTAATTACCACTTAGTCTATTGAAATACGACCCACTATTGAAATAATTATTTCAATAGTGGTTGAGAGTGCATTTGAATAATAAACATAAATAGTCACCACTATTGAAAAACGACCTCTATTGAAGTTATTATTTCAATAATGGGTGAGATTGCATTTAAATATAATAACCATAGGTTTCAACCTCTATTGAAATACAAGCACTATTGAAATAATTATGTAATAGTGGGTGTGATAACCATAAGTTTCAACCACTATTGAAATCAGATCGTATTGAAAGAAAAGTCAGCAACTTTTGAAATAATTATTTCAATATATCTAGTGGATTCATTGTTCAAAGCACTATTGAAATCAATAATTTAATCCATATTGAAATCTTTATTTTAAAAGTGAACATCATTTCAATAGTGGTTGCAACCTATGTTTGTTATTGAAATGAATCTCACCCACTATTGAAATAAATATTTCAAAAGTAGTCGTATTTCAATAGTGGTTACCATCTTTGTTTGTTATTC